TTTGTTATTAATTTCAGTGAAAATTTACAGAGGCTTTGGATTTCCATTCATTCATTGTTGTAGATTTGTCCCCTCCCAAGGCTCCCCCCCCACCAGACATTACCCTCTTGGAAAAGTAAAAGAAAGAATTTATTTTGTGTGTTTAATTTTTATCCCCTCTTCTGTCTTTCAGGGCAGGTTAAAGTCTTCAGAGCTCTGTATACATTTGAACCCAGAACTGTAAGTATTCAGCTTGTTACTTCTAATCCATTACTAAAATACAAGGCATTTCCTTTAGCCACTCCCTGTGACCTGAATGAACATCATTATCTTTGTTAAAATGAGCTGCCACTGAGTGGACTTTGATTCCTGGTGACTCCGTCTGTGCTAAAGTGTGTTGTGGGTTTCAGAGGAGGCTGCCCACCAGACTTTTCTTCTAAGGTGTCTCTAGGTGGATTTGAATTCCCTACCTTTTGGTTAACAGCTGAGTGAGATAACCATTTGCATCATCCAGGGATTTGTAAAAGTTGGTTACTATTAAATGACTAATCATTTCTCAGTGACTGAGGCCTGAAAAACAAGCCTCGTGGTGGTTTGCTTCTCTTTACACCCTCAGTCATGTGTCTGTCTTGTGGTGGCATCATACTGTGGTGACCCCATTGTCCTCTGGCTTCTGTGTAAAGCACAGTGTTGTTTCTTAGTTATCCTCTTTCCGAATCTCCTTCTGACTGTCTCTCACTCACACTCCTGACCGTTTACCACAAACCAACAAAAGGTTCCTCTGCCAGCATCCCAGAGTCCTGTTGTACATCTTTACTGCACATACTTTCCATTAAAACAGTTTTTGTCAGGAGTCCAGAATTCTGCCTGTTATGTTTTTTAGTAAGCCCTTACTATGTGCCAGGGAAGGAGCCCTGTGTACACAGTGGTTAAGTATTCAACTTCCAACTAGAAAGTTAACAGTTCAAACCCAGTAGGACATCCACAGAAGAAAGATGTGACAGTCTGCTTCTCTGAAGATTTTTAAAAACCCAGAAAACCAAATCCACTACCCACTGCTGTTAAGCCAATTCTGACTCCAGGTAACCCTCCATTGCCTTTCCAAAGCTGTACATCTTTATGGGATGAGACTTCCTGTCTGTTTCCCACATGGCACCTCTTGGATTCAAACTGTTGACCTATCGGTTAACATAGCACGTAATTCATGACAACACTAAAGGCACAGAAAGTCCTATGGGACAGTATTGTTCTTTCCTACAAGTTACCTTTGAGGTGGGTCAGAGTTTGGCTTGGGCTTTGGTACGAGCCAGACATTTGTCCAGATGAGGGGCTAGTGTGGAGAACTATACACAGGATGGCTTCATCCATCTGCAGCCCTGCCGGGGGAGGCGCTTGGTCCACACAGAAGGGGAGACAGTGCTGAGAAGTGGGTGAGGGACCACGAGCTCAGGGAAGGGAGGAAGGGTGGTGTAACTGTTTTGCAATAGAGGAAATAATTTTAACTACTTACAGAAGAATGACAGCACATGCCGGGGTAAAATCCCATCACAAGAGGTCTGCATCAGGGGGTAGAAAACTTCCATGCACACCCCTCTCTTTATACCATGGACAAGACCCCAGAATTCTTTCCTTTCTGGTCCTAGGTTCCAGGAGTTGTGTGTTTCATCACAGACCACTTCCTTAAAATGCTGCTCTGCCCTTACCACCTGACAAGGATGTGGGCCCCGCAGTCAGCCCGCCTTTGCAGCCCCACATCCTCTGTTCCCATCCTGGACAAGCCTGCTCAGATTTGGCTCATCGTACAGGCCTTCTTGGAATCCTTTCTGGACTCATGGTGCTTGAGTCCCTCTCTATGCTCAGATGAAGTAGTTTCTCTTCTGTAAAGACTTCTGCACCTCCCATCAGTAGTGGGATCCCTCATCCCTACCTGGACTTGTAGAGTTGGCATCGAGATTCTGCTTGCTAATTAGTAGCCCTTTCCTTCAGAGAGATAACTATAGCCCAGTTCATGTACCTATGACATATTTCTGCTTAGATTCACAACAAGAAAGCAAGTCCCACAAACTGTTTGGCTTCCCAGTGCATGTAATAATTATGTTTACATTATACTGTCTATGAAGCATGCAGCAGCTTTGTGGATGATTTTGAAATATCATGAGAATTACCAAAATATTACATGTAAGCCTGATGTGAGCACATGTTTTTAGACAAAACAGTAATGATAGACTTGCTCAATCCAGAATTGGCCATGAACCTCTAATTTTATA